GGAACAAGCTGGTTTCTCTGCTGTTGGAGAACGTCAGGTGCCCTAACACCCACCACAGCTCTGCAGCCCTGGCTCCAGCATCTCCACCCTGTACTCTCACGGCAAAACGGTCCCCCCCGCGCAAAAGGGGACGGGTGAGGGCCCGGACCGCGTGAACCCGCGCTGGTGACGCTCACCGGTGACAGTCGTGCCAGACCCAGGCATGGCGGCCGGTCTTGGGGGGGATTGGGGCGGAAGTCGGACTGGCCGTTGTTGTGGATCTGGGAGGAGAAGCGCAGCAGGCGCCGGTACCCCGAGGTGAGGGAGGTGTTGACGGCCGAGCTGGCCAGGCAGTTCTCCTCGAGCGCGCACTGCAGCATGAACATGGGGCGGTCTTCCAGGTAGGCCGTCTGCTCCACCAGCTCGGCGTTGAGCACCAGGTCAGGGGCAGCTGGCAGGCAGGAAGGTTCAAAATTAGGGGCTGAGCTACCAAAAACTGCTCACAAGTGTCTGCCGGAGATGGAGGCCAAGCCCCTTCCTTGTGCTGCTGTGCTGACACATCGAAGGCACAGCACGGGCCACCTCATTTCTCCTGCAAACGCTTATGCCCAAATGAAATAAATCCCGAGTTACTCACTCTCCGAGCAGGACACACCAGCACCAAAACGGCCACCTCCTCTGGGACAGGAGACGTCGGCTCCGTCGTGACGACAGTGGGCCAGGGACATCTCTGTCCCCGAACACTTGACGCCGCTCATGACTACGTTGTCAGCGCTGATGTCTCCATGCCAGTACCAGGTTTCCTGGGCAGAAAAAGGCATTTCAAACATTCTCAGTGTTTAGGGAAATATTCATCCCCGTAACCTGAGTTCTTCCTCCAGGGAAGATCAAGGCAAGAGCCAACGCTACCAAGGAGACAGATGCTGCCAAAAGTCTCTGGAGCAGAGTAACATGGGGAACGAGCCCGAGGCTGTTTAAGCAGAAGGCTGGGACTGGGGTTAAAACTGACCCTGTTCCCTGCCCTGAACATCTGAGCAGCGTTACGCAAATCTCTCTCCCCGATTCTGAGCTGGTTTAAATCTCTGCTTGTTTTTAATCCAGCTGTAAACTCACTTTTCCACCCTGCTCTGCCCATCCAGCTGATGAATTCATCCTCGCGCTGTTCTAAGCCATCTAGGCTGTGCCCTTGGGAGAGATGCCCGGCAATTAAACCACATCTGTCTTGTGACATCCGCGCACTGGGGAGGGCCACAAGTAGTGCCAGAGGGCCTGCTTGCACAAGGAGGGGAGGCAGAAGAAACAGCCATGCTGGAAATGCCAGTGGGAAGCAGGCACTGGAGGACTAAACAGGGTCTGCTAACCCAGGGGTCTGCACCTCTTGGTTCTGAGGGGGATTTCATAGATGCTCAAACCCTCCTCACTGCTCATCTTCATCACCCAGCTTGGCAAAACTTGTGGGAATGAGGGAAAATTAACTCACGACATCACACCACTCACAAAACTGAGGGCACTGAACCCTGATGAAGCCGCAAGGGCAAAGCTTGGGAGAAGGGAAGAAAGAAGGAAATAAGAAATGTGATCTTTTAGTGTCAGAACTGGGAGCACGTTTCCAGGAAAAGCAAACCCATCTGTCCCACTGCCCGTATTGCAACAGGCTGCTGGTTAACCCTGCGCGGGGCACTGCACACCCGCGCACAGGGCCGCCCTGTTCCACACAGTGCAGCTTTATGCTCCCGCCGCTGGTGCCGCCGGGATTGCATAAGGGCCTTTTCTCTTCTAAATACCAGCAGCCTCAGCTAAAGGAAAAAGTGTCTTGGTTCTTGCTGGACTCTCCGGGCTGTGTCAACAGAGCCAGGCAGGCGGGAAGGCCGGCGTTCCGGTTACGTGGCCGTCCTCAGCTCCTGCGCTGCTTGGCATGACGCTGGCAGATCAGCTGGAGGGACCAGCGGGCAGCTCCCGCCTTCCGCCTGCCAGGTATCCGACCCCAGTGTGTCTCCGGGGACCTGCAGATTCCCGCTCTGGCCATGGATAAGTTAAATTGGTGGGAATCTGCCTTCCCTCGAGCCCAGTGTGTCCTCCTGGACAGCTTAGTCGTTCCCTAAGGACAAACTGGTTGCAGGATTGTGCTCTCCAGACAGAGGTTTAACTGTCGGCTTCTCGCTACAGTCTCTGCTGCTTTCCCAACAGGCAGCAACCAGCCCCGAGGATGCTGAGGCTGTAACTCATTCCAGGGCCCTTTTGTCCCTCCCTGCACAAACCCAGTGGGCAGGCAGCAGACGCTCATTCTTACTGGGTTTGTCGCTGCAGCCCGGCAGAGCTGGCTGCATCCGAGTGCTGAGCAGGCATGAACACCCAACCGGACCCCCGGGCTTGGAGAATGGGGACAGCCCCCCGCTCCCTGCAGCCACATCCGACTTGTTTGCCCGAGTTTTCCATCTCTGGACATTGTTTGGGGAAAACAGTTTTCCTTCCAGAACCAATCAGGGCTGTTTGCTGCGTGCGGGTTTCCATCTCTATAAACACACATGAAGTTTATTTAGCCAGTGGCCGTTTCAGCCTGTTTCCCCCAAAGCTGTTGGCTGTATTCTCGGGTGAAATGCCTCACGGGGGCTGCATTGCCAGAGCACAGCACGACAGCAAGCTCTGGCAGGGGGTACTTTGTCCTAGGGAGAAACCAGTTTATTTTAGAAGCCCAAATCCCCATTTTCCTGGTGTTTGGGAGCTGCAATAAAGGCCCAGAGGTGGTGTTTCATTTCAAATTCTACCACTACATCTAGGTCTGCCTGTCCCCCTTCCACCTTGTGATCCCTGAGGGATGTACCAGTACAGAAGAGTATCTTGCACCAGGTGTACACCAGCTACTTAATCCTGATGCCATTTATCCCTCTGGGAGTTGGGTGGGAAGCTGTTGCCCTCCCTCCTTCCAGCTCTTAGGGTTGCTGCTTGCTTTCCTCCAGCCAGCACAGCAGGCTGCCATTCACTGAGCCAAGGAGCTTCGCTGGGAAAGAACACTTTATTCCTTTGTGGTTATCCCAAGCTTGTTAGTTGGTAGCTTTTATCCCTTTATTATGTGCCCTTCTGAGCCGTGCACAAGCAGGGAGGGTGTAGGGTATTTGCCATTAGAGGAGCGAGAAATGGGACGGCTCTGCACACGGGGGAGAAGCTGCATGGGGAGGCGGCTCCAGGAGCAAAATCAAATTGTTTTCAAGTGACTCAGCAGCAGGTTAACCTTGGCTTCCACGCTCCAGCCAGCCCAAGGAGTTCAACTCCCCCCTGACTCCAGGAGGGACAAGAAACTGCATGTAACCACCAGCCCAACCAGCACCAAGGGTGTCAGGCTTCCCAGGACATCGGAGCCCTGAGCAGTCGGAAAACAGCAGCTTTGCCCAGGGCTGCAAGAGCTTTTCCTGCTCTGAATTTCCGCCAGCAGCTGTTGTGCAATGAGGTTTAACCCCCAGGGTCACTCCAGCTGATGCCTTGAAGCTGAATGCTACGGTCTGGTTTTTCAACAAGCTTTTCTTCCCCTCCAGTAGCCCCTACCCAACCCCCCACATGCCACCACATCCGAAACGGGCACGGGAGGGCGCAGGGACTCACCTGGAAGGCATGGCTGGCAAACCCCAGGCCCAGCTGCCGACACACCACCATGGCCTCCACCGTGCTCCAGTTCTCGCTGCAGACCGTGCCCCACTTCAGCGTGCCGTTGCGCTCTGCCAGGACCTCCACCCGGCCCTCGTAGGGGTTGCGGCCGCCGCTCAGACGCAGCTGCAGGGCGTAAAAACTCCCATGTCGATAGACATCACAGCAAACTTGGTAAGGAGGATGCAACAGTCGGGCAAGCGATGCTCAGGGTCTTTTCAAGGCTTGTGGTTAAAGTCACTGAGCCCAGAAACCTCAGCTCAGCTACTGCTGACTGGCTGAGGCAGTTTGGTTCTTCTCCCACATGGCAGGAAGCAGACTAGTCAAGCCCAGCATCCGACAGTGGCCTGTACCAGCTGCAAGAGTAACACTCCCTACGAAAGCTTCCCCCCTCCACTCCCTCTGGGCCTCTGGCAGTATTTGCCCCGAGGAACCCGTCTCTGCTTCATGCAGTGAGTCTCTCCGCCCCACAGCAGCCCCCCAGGTACCACTGTCACGAGACCCAGCCAAGATCCCATCACGACAGGGACATGCACCAGCACCGCACGGGCTGCAGCTGAAGTGGCCCTTCGCTCACTGATAAGCCCCGTTGTACTGGGAGGAGCTCAGAGCTCCGTACAAAAAGGGAGCTTGATCCTTATTTGCCCTCCTGTCTAACACACTGCAGCTGTTAAAACCTAAATGGAACAGGCACGGCTCAGGTGAAACGATTCCAGTGGCAAGGGCGGGCAGAGGATGCTCCAGGATGGAATCACCTCGCCGCACTCGCATCGCATCTCACCTGATTCTGGAAACCCATCGCTGGGACGTTGCATCTCACAGCAGCGTCTTCCTCGTGGTTACAGCCCTGCGACTCCGTGTTGAACTTGCAGTCCGTGACCGACTTCTCAAAGCCCGTACAGTCAATTTCGTTCAGGTGGATGGGACCCATGCCTGGGGGAGAAGAAAGAGGAAGAAGGTCCTTACCTTCTGCCCATGCTGCCGGGTGATGAAGAAATACCCAACAACACTTTATTAACCCACTGCAGACATCACACTGGCCTCTAACATGTTCAAAACACGGTAAGCCTGAAAAAATTCCAGTGGTTTCTTGTGAAAATAAAACAAAAAGGTGCAGGATTATTATGAATAATTTTATCATTAAATTCCTTCCAGTAGTCCCTGAGTGTCAAGCAGGTGAGAGCTGAAGAAAAAGCCGTTTCCATTGTTACATAATTTACAAACTTCAGCTGGAGGAACTGGCAAATTATGACTTTTTGACTGGGAATCTGCTCCCTGTCAAGCCCTGAAACTGAGACTGGACAACAAAACACACCACAGAGAGTGAGTGAAACACAGGGCAGGCGGGTGTTACAGACCCCGACAACTGCTGCAAATGGGGAGGAACGGCGTTCATGCTGCAGAGAGGTCTGAAGGTGTCAGGAGCCAGGCGGAGTAATTTGGGTTCTCCCTGGCAGGTGGCAGCGGAGATTTGTCCTGCCTACCTACACAGCATGAGGAGAGGGGCAGGAGGAGGCAGTCATCCTTCCTGCGGAGCTCCCAGCTCCTGTTTCCCACCCCAGCCCAAGGCTGGTTAGTAAGAAGTTACAGGGGGCAGGATGAATCGGAGGTTCCAGCAGATGCTAAGAAGGATATAGACTGGTTGGAGCGAGTCCAGAGGAGGCCACGGAGATGCTTCGAGGGCTGGAGCCCCTCTGCCATGGGGACAGGCTGGGAGAGTTGGGATGTTCAGCCTGGAGAAGGATCTGGGGAGACCTTATTGCAGCCTTCCAGTGCCTGAAGGGGCTACAAGGAAGCTGGGGGGGACTTTTCCCAAGGGCAGGGAGTGACAGGACAAGGGCTAATGGTTTTAAATGGAAAGAGGGAGATTGAGATTGGACATCAGGACTGAATTCTTCCCAGAGACGGTGGTGAAGCACTGGGACAGGTTGCCCAGAGAAGCTGTGGATGCCCCATCCCTGGGAGTGTCCAAGGCCAGGCTGGATGAGGCTTGGAGCAACCTGGTCTAGTGGAAGGTGTCCCTGCCCATGGCAGGGGGGTTGGAACTGGATAATCTTTAAGGTCCCTTCCAACCCAAACCGGTCTGTGATTCTATGGTACTATGATCTTCAACACAAAACAACTGGAGTCTTTCTTGGAGCCCATATAATCCCTGAGTAATTACTGACGGAAACATGCCAGATAGTTTTGACAGATCCTTGCAAGTAGCAGACGTAGAGCCTCTGGCCTCCAGCAGTTTCTAGGAAGGTTTTGGAGAGGGGAGGCTGGGAATAACACCACTCCTGACCTGCGCTATCAGCATACTCTCTCCGGACTCGGCGTAATCGGAACGCTGGCAGCCCTGCGCTCCGACCTGCAGGTCGGTTGCTTCACTGCAGCCCTTGGCCAGGCACTGCAGCAGCCGGGAGCAGCACAACGGCAGTGACGAAAGCAAAAGCCACCGGAGGATTGGCTGAGAAAGCAGCATCCACGCAGCAATACCCTTCACTGGCCCTTTCCATCAGCTGGGAGAGGTTGCGGGTGTTGGGTTTGGAGTTCACCTTGTCGGCACGCGTAGCGCACCGCGGCAGGAGCCCAGGCTGACCCGTCTGGGCAGCCGAGACAGAAAAGCAACTGTTTTCTCACCATTTCTGTCCGTGACTGTTGATTCTTCATTCCTGCAACACTATTCTCATCATAGCACAAGTGCTGAGGGCCCCACAGGGGCAGGGAGCTGTACCTGTGTCTGAGCATTCCGATCAGCAGAGAGCAGACACCCTGGCTGCTGCCATTTCTTTGGCTGCGGCCAGAGGTGATACAAATTTCCCAGAGCTAAGAAGGTGACACGGCTTTCCCTGAGTGAGAGAGTGGCAGAAGCACCGACTGTGCTCTGACCAACAGCCTCCTGGGCGCACGCTGCCGTGCCACGATCCCTCTTTTGCTCACTCCCCCGGGAAGGAGTATTTTCTGCAACCTTCAAGCCTGCTCCTTTCAGTCCAAAGCAAAGGGCTGACTCTGGAAGGCAGGGAAATCCAATGGGTTTATTAACAGTAGATGGGATCCTTTTGCTTAAAAGCTTCTTCCTGCTGCCATCTGGAGCCATTCTCACTGTGTGGCTGCCACCACCCCTGTGACCCAGACCATGGGTGACATTTTAATGATTTGTCTGATGAACCCCTCACCTCCTTAGGCTTCTGCTGAGGCACAGAGAAGACAGAAAACAAGAAAAAAACTCAAGAAAACAAGAAAAATTTCACTGGGGAATGTGTATCTGGCCTTTTTGGCTTCTCTCTTATTAAAATCCTGTCTGTGGTCTCCATCTGGAAACGGTGACACCGACCCAGTCATTTTGCAAGCTGCCCAACAGTTCGAGGAGGAAAATGCCTTGATGCTGACCAGAATTGGAGGGTGACGCACCAAGAATGCAGGATGGATCCAGCCTGACATTCTCCACTGGAACAGCCCCACAAAGCCATTCCAATGAAGTGACCAAGCACGAGGGCAGGGCTGCCAGCACGCATCCATGTAACCCCGGCTCAACGGTGCTTCCCAATTCTTCTACAGCACGTGGATGCAGTAAGTGCTGCTGTGCCGGGCACTGAGGTGTAGCCAAACTGCATCACTGTAAGTGCTGAAACACGGCGATAAGAGTTGTATTTCCTCCCGTGCCATTCCTTTGAACAGAAGGACAGGATCAGGCTGTATATCCAACATTTACATTCGCCTACTGCTTGAAGGTTTTCCTCTGTTCTCCCTCCAAGGATGCTGCAGTGGTCTTCAAGGAGATCTGGGCTCAGGATCTTCCTTTCAACAGGGTCTTGTGTGAATAAGCATAAATTGTTCAATCTGGGTTTCGGTCGCCAATTTATAAAGGAGGGAATCAATCATCACCCCCCATATCCTGAACTCACTATGGCAGGCACTCATCTCCCATGGGTCAATTAACCGGGACTTCTAGACCCTGCACGCTGGTTTAACACGTAGTTCATCTTTGTGTGTTCTACCCCGTGACATTAAATCCCCAGCGCAGCGAGGATGAGACCTTCGTTAGTGTTTGAACCCCCAGATTCACCGGGGTGCAGCTGCAAGAAAGCACAGTGTGAACATGCCAGCTTAACGGCTGAGACCCCTCTGGGCAGTGGGAGCGTGGGGCGGAGTTTGGGGCAAAATTGCTCCTTTTCCTACCCCAGTGTGACTATCCATCTGCTGAAAGGAGTCTCTGAGTGCGTGCCATCCCAGGGGAGCGTTCTGACAGGGCGCACTGATTGATTACCACTTTTTCACATAAAAAGGAAGGAAAACGTGTGGGAATCGGGAGCCGCTGCTAAGAGTTTCCAGACTGCGGCTGTGGGAGACGGCAGGGAACGGCACGTTCTCCCCCCTCACGTGGCAGCCGCTTACCTCCTCCACCCCCCCGATGATTATCCTGTTTCCTAGATGCAGCTAAACACACCAGCAGCTCCCTGCATCCCACCGCAGGGTTTTTTTTGGCAAACCCAACGGACAGGTCACATTTTAAAGCTTTCCAGATTGCGGACACCACCACCGTGGGTTTACACGTGGTGTTTCTTTCCCTCCCTCTCCCCACGCCATGCTGGGCTGAAAACATTTCACCCCTTCCTTTAGCCTCACAATGAAGGGTATGGTGGCATTTTCTTCAGGGTTTACACGACGGGAGCAGGGCCTGTGAATCAGAAGGTGGTTTGAGAGGGCGTACGTTGGGGTTTTGAGCTGCTGTTTACCACAGTTTGGGATTTAAACCAACTCCCAAATACAGGAAATCCAAGCCCAAACCTGGCTCTGAGCTGTTCAAATGCCCTTCTATTTATAATGGGCTAAATTAATGTTCTGGTCTTAAATTAGAGTATTTGAAGTCTAGGATCCCATTTTTGCCAGGAACCTTCTAGTAATGCATTACACCATGATGTGGACGTAGAGAACTTGTAAAGAGAGTCTGAGAGCAACGGATGTGATAACAAAGAAGTAATTACTGGAACAGCTGTCTGAGGGAAAAGTTAAATTCATCATCACTAGACTTCTTTCAAGGAATCTCAAGATTTTTCTAAGTCACATATTCCAGTTCAGGCTCAAGAGACTTGTTAAGGGTAGAGAATAAATTCCTGGTCCCCAAAGCAGACATCCCACTAAAAACCCAGTCTGCCCTGAATCACAAACGGGTTCTCGGAGGTGGACAAGGCACCAACGGTCCCCGGAGCTCTCACTGCTCTTACCTTGCCCGAGCCTCGCGCCCGTTATCGCTTCCTTGGCGCTCCCAAATCCCAGCTCTCGGCACACCACGCTGGCGGACACCAGGTTCCAGTTGTCGTCACAAACCGTTCCCCACTCCCCGTTCTTCAGCACTTCAACTCGTCCTTCGCCGGTGTTGGCTCCTCCTTTCAGCCTCACCAGTGGTTGCTGGAAGACAGACCGAGGCGGTGTTACCGCTGCCTAGGGACGAAGCATCCTTTCTTTGCCGCAGCTAAGCTGGGGCCCAAAAAGGCACCTTAAAACCTCCACCACATAATACAAAAGGCTGAATGTGCAGGATGAAAGGAGATCTTTACCTGCTAAGACTTATATGGTATGCACAGATACGCGTTTCTCACATCCCTGTGTGTGGGCATAGAATAAAAAGAGAAATCCTAGCTCTCTGCAGCTTTAGGGCTTGGATTTAGGAGCCTTTTTCACACACACAGTTCTGCAGAAGAGGGCTGCTGCACACACCGTGGCGGCTGGCCGTTCAACCACCCAGCTGTCATACTGGATCTCCTGGGAGCCTTACAGGAGGCCTGGGAATCGCATGGAGCCAGCAGCACACGGCCCTCAGCCACTGGCTGCCCGTGGTCCAGCTGTTGGATGCATTTGCTGTGCCCGTCTCTGGACAGGCATCCTGGGTTAACCAAGGAGACCAATGTGGAACTCCAGCCACGTAAAACCTCCCTCTCCGCTGCAGTTAGGGCTAGTGGGATGGGTGATCGGGCAGACCGCGGTCAGAAACACACAGCTGAGGGGCAGGTCCAGTGCCACTAACTCCTCTCCTTGTATTTCTGCTAGTCCCTGACTACATCACTCATGTCCTTCCCGAGGACCAAGCGGAAACCCGCCAGCTGCTGCATCCCAGAGACGTGCTGTAGCGGTGGGAGCTAAGCCTTGGGTATGGGATTGCCACGGGATTTGTGCAGAGTCTGAGAGCCAAAAAAACCCAAACCCTTAACTTCTAAAACTGGAAGCATATCCAGTTTTGCAGGCTGGGGTCACACGAAGGACATCCAAAGCCTACACAAAGGCTTTAGGAATTACTTGGCAGTATGCAGGGCTCAGAAGATTAGTAATGATTTACAAGACCTTTCACCTTCGAGGCCTAGATCCTGCGAGCTCTCGTGCAGAGAAGTGCCTGGACTCCAGCAAGCAGACCCAGACAGGACTGCACTATTCCCACCACAGAGGTGTCCGGAGGTGCGGGCTGGGGTCTCCTCAGGTGCTAAGGGAAAGCCCACTCCTAAAGCCACGGAGCCTGGGGGATGCAGGCTGTAGGCAAGATCCACCACACCTTGCATAAACCCCTCTGAACCAGCGTGAAGGGACTCCAGACCCAGGGGTCACCCCTGTGTCCGAAGGCTGTGCATACCCCACAGCTGGAGATTTTCCCTCAGCATCAACCTAAACCGTGTTTGCTGCCGGTTAAGCCATTCTCTCACGTTCAGCTGCCTCACTGACAGCGAACAACCGACTCCAGGGTTGTTTATAACAGTGGTTTGCCTATCTTAGACCTTTTCTGCTCGCTCAGCCCTCTCCTTGCTAGACTAAACACACACAGCGTTTTCAACCTTTCCCGTAGGCCACGTTTTCCCAGCCTCTCAGGGCATTTCTGTGCAGAAGACACAGGGGTAGAGGAAATGCCAGTTTATTCCCCTGGTACCTCCTCGGGAGGAGACAACCCAATGGGACAAATGTATTTTCTCACTCCTTACTCACAGCCATGCCAGCGGCGAGCCATCTCCCACCCTCCTGAGCCTGCAGACGGAGGCAAGGCACCATGAACTTGCGAGGACAAACTCAGCCGGGCTTGCAGCAAGAAAGGGACACAAAGAGGGGACGTTGCACAGGCTGGTTTGTGCCATGGCACACGTGTTCAGCCCCTACGCCAATAACGGACGGTGAATAGCGACACCCCCACGCTTTTCGTTCTTGCCAGGTTGCGTTCAGACCCTGCTCACCTCCTGCCTGAAGGCTTTTCGGAAGCCGCTGTGGCTGCTGGGGGCAAAGGCGCGCCCGGGGACGCAGCTGACGACGGCTGGCATCCCGTTCTCACACGTCGCGTTCTTCTCCGCATCCACATTGAGGTGATTGCCCAGTTTGCAGCTGGAGATGTGAGCCTCGTTCCCACTGCAATCCATTGAGTAAGCCCAGTAATGCTGCTTCCTTCTGCTGGCAAACATCCTTAGGGGGATAAAAGAGAAGAGGAAAAGTTAGGAATCCACAAAAACTGCACTGACGTTTGGGGAAAACCCCTTTGCACTCACAGGAGGATCGAACAGCGTTATCTGAAGGTGGATCCACACGCAATGACTCTGTTAAGGTGCCGCTTGGGAGTAAACAGGTCATTGCTTAAGCTAAAGACCAGAGTGTGAATCAACAGTGCAGCCAGAGCAATAATTGCACACCCGAAGGAGACACATAACAGAGATCCCTACGTTCTGCAGGGGTCAGGGATCAGTTTATTCCAAAGGCAGTGTACAAAGAGGGCCTTGTGCAAACAGCACAGGTGAGTTTGGGCTGGAGAGGCCCCCAAAACACCTCTTCCCATAAAGGAGCTGCTCTCCTTGCTGGCCATCCCCTGTAAGCCATGGGAAGATGGAAGGTTGGGAAAAAGCCATGGCTCCTCTCCGGCTCCCCTCAAAGCTGCAGTGTTAACAACCGTGGGCCTGAGAGCAACTTCCGGGAGCGAGAGCGATTCCCCCGATGACACGTTCACAGCAGAGGAGGTTGGCAGCAGCTCCTGCTTCTGGCTCCCAAACCACAGCGCTTGCCTGGAGGTGCTCCAGGGACTCCGAGGAGGAAGGGGCACGTGTGATAAACGAGACAAGAAAGTAATCCAGCTCCACCCTAACTGTGTTGTAAGGCTGTCAGACAACGGTATCCGAGCTAAAATAGTCAATGGAACAGAAATAGGGGTCAGATGGCTACCGAAAGGGAAACGTTAGAAGTTAACGCGCAGAGGAATGCCCTGCCGTGGTCCTGACGTGGCTGTGCGAGATCCCTGTGCGGCTCCTCATCCCAGGACCAGCTGCCGTGCAGCCCCAGCGATCAGCCGTGATAAATGGCACCGATTCTGACCCCCTGTGGGACAGAGACCCTGTACGGGAGGTGGGAAAGGAACAAAGAGCCTCGTTGGTGGTTTGAAACTAAACAGGACAGGTCAAGGTGTTCCCAGGTGATGCCCTTTGGTGGTCCCACGTGAGCTAACGGGCACCCTCTCGGATGCTCAGAGGACTGTCTGAGCCCCTTTCGTGGGCCAGGCTTTGCTGACAAGCTCAGGTCTAGGCTCATGCGGCTCGTGGCCACGGACTCACCCTTTCTGGAACCAAATTTCTCTGGGTTGAGGTTAGGGCCAGGAGACAGAGATGCAACTGCATCCCGTGGTGGGAGGTAAACGCTGTAGGATGGAGGATAGGGTAGGGTCTATCCCATGGAGCAGGAAGAGGCAACCTGCCTGTCCTGTGGGTAAAACACTGGATGTTAAACTCCAGGTCGGTCCAACCCGAGTTGTCGGGGACCCTGAATCAACAGAAAATGAATTGGAAATAGGAAGGGGGAGTAAAAATTTGATAAATTAAAACATAAAGTAAACCCAGGGGGGATACAGGCAGAAAGGAAGTGCCAGCACCTTCTCAGCTGGAATATCTGGTCCAATTTGGACCAAACATTGAAGATTTTTCTTCCTTTTAACTAAACTACCCAGATACTACATGTCTACCAAAAAGTCAGGAAAGCCTCTGCCCCTGGACTGCTGGAGCACCAAGGAAGAACCCGCTGGAGTATTTTCTTGAGGGCCCTGCACAGCCATGTGCAGAGAGCTCCGCAAGCTCCGAGGCAGACAAGGAACACAGCCTGTCTTAGAGAAGGAATTACAGGGATGCCTTATAATAGCAAACAATGACCTCATCCTGGAAATTTCATGAGGCATGAACATCTGGTTGGTATTAACGGCCCTTGGAAGGCTGGGGAGAAAGAGCCAGAGAAGGCCCCACCTCATTTCCCCAGGCTGAAAAATACAGAATTTAAAAAAAGAAGTAGGATACAGATGATCTTTGCGGATAGAAACTCGGAGTATTTGTGTTATTTACTTCTTAACATAGAAAGGGTGCAACCCACCTCTCACTGGCCTCGGTATGAGCCAAGAGCAATGCTTCTCAGATCAGAGGTGGGAGTGCACAGTCATGCTGTGAGAATTTAGCCAATTCTGGGTCAAGTTGGAGCCCAAACTATTTTGACTGGTCAGGAGAGATAGACATTCACCCCAAAAGCTTTAAACCAAGGCACAGGTTAAGCCCAAGGGCTGTGGGAAGTGGCTGAGGGTTTACCTAAGGAACTTCCCTACATAAAGCATCTGAGAGGATTTGGGGAGCAGAAAACAAATCATTACACAGGAAAACGCACCCGTAACGCACCGAAAGGGAGCTGGTGAACTCTTCAGGGGTGTGAGCACAGAATTTCTACCCTTGAGAAGTTCTTCAAGCGTTTACTGAAGGAAGTTTGCTGCCTTCAGCCTCTGGGATGCAGAAGAGAAGCCAGACTTGCCACCTTCCACCAAAGCCCTCAGGATCCCGGCTTCGCTCACCAGAACCCAAGCCGTGCGGGTTTCTGCTACACGCACAGAAGTGATGAACTGCCCTATAGATCTGACCAGATTTATGGTGCTACGAGCAGACTGGTTAAACTGGGAGATGCTGTTTGGACTGACACTGAAGTATGGTGGAACTGCTGAGCTCACCCCTGCAATTCTTCGGCACATCACAAAGCTGTAAGGCCCGGAGAAGGCATCAGGTCCATCCCTCTGCCTTAAGCATCTCCGGTCACAAACTTCTACTCTCCCTGTCAGCAAAATGCGTTTAATTCTGCTCTGCTTTCTCAGCCAGAGCAGGAACCGGGAGGAGGAGTTCACAAGCGGCGCCTGTATAAAAATCCCTTTGAAGAATGAACAAGAACATGGAAACAACATTGAGATTTGTTTCATTTCCGAACATAAATCGTGCTGTCAACTGCAGCGTCTAAGTTGCATTCAGGAATAAAACCCTGGCACCAGGACAACAATGAACTAAGTTGTTTTCTTTCAAGCAGGATCCATCTGCAAATCATTTCACCTCCCACCATCGTGCAGAAGCAGAGGATCAGCTAGCTCAGCATGCAAAGCTGCAGTTTGTGGGGAGTGGGGCTGGTGGGGATGTGGGAGGGGGGCACTTGCAGCCCCGGCCAGCAGAAACCCGATTCCAGCCCGTCTCCCAGCTGCGGAGCGGGAAAGGATCCACTCTCGGGAGAACGGTATTTACCAGTTAGGGAGAGAAAAACCCATGAAATGAGAAGAACGTCTGAGGCTTCACATCACATGGCGAGAAGACTTAGTCCAAGTGACCCGTCAGCCAAACTCCTCGCTCCCCCAGAGAGGACGCGACCCGAAAGCGGGTGGGATATGGCAGAGCAGTGCTCCCACGGCCCCGGCAAGCCGATTACGGTGGCTGACATTCCCGTACCTCCATCAGGAAGCAAAGACCACTTGGGAAGCTCCAGCGGAGCACTGCTGGTTGTTACGTGATGCGTCTGTCAGCAACACAAAGCACAAAGAAATGCCCCAAAAAGAACACAACTTTTTAAACTACACTAACCGAGCAAAACTGCCCAGCTGGCAAAGTTTCACCAGTCTCTCCCCTCCAATAAGATGACATCCCATCTTCTTCCAGCCTGGGATAACACTGAGTATCTTTTCCAAAACATCTTTTGGGGGTGCAGGGGCCCAGCAAGCAGAGGTGAGGGAGGTCTGAGGGCACCGAGGCCACTCCAGCAATGCGTCTGGCTCGCAGCAGAGTGCTCCAAGCCTGGTGTAAGCATTGCATATTCCTAACCCCAGCTCCAGGGAATGGCATTTCTAACGCTGCTGAAATATTACGCTGAGCAATGCCTCAGTTTTTCCATCTCTACGTGTGCTGTGGAAGAGTCGGGACAATTACCAAGCACCCTTTTACTGCAGGCAGATGGCTCCAGCTGCTGAAGTTAATGCTTTTCTTGGAAACACTGCAACTGAGGAGCAGGAAAAATCTACTTTGTCTTACTCGAGGTAATTTATCCTGCTGTCCTGCTCTAGTGCAGGGGATGGGAATCTCGGAGCTGAGTTCGAGGGAGACACTGATGGGAGCAAACCCTTCTCTGACTGGTGTCCAGGGCAAAACATGAGACTGCCTGGTAGCGATTATTAATTCCCTGCTCATCTCCCTGGGAAGCCTGCAAACAGAATTCCCCTTGGGTTATTTATTGTATATTCTTTGTGCTGTTATGTGGCTTGACGAGTGTTCTTCAATCGATCACGACCTTGCCAGTGCAAGAAATGAAACATGGTCAGCCAGTTCCCGAGGGGGCTTTCGGAAATAGCAACTGTGCAGGCCAACAGGAGCAGGCAGGAAAACCACAACTCCTGCCTGGAGAATTCCGATCTCCCCCTAACCAGCTGACACTTTCCCACTCCACAGGTCACAGTGAAGCAAAGAAATGAGACTGAATTGCACTCGAAGTGTTTTGGTGCAAGAAATGAAACATGGTCAGCCAGTTCCCGAGGGGGCTTTCGGAAATAGCAACTGTGCAGGCCAACAGGAGCAGGCAGGAAAACCACAACTCCTGCCTGGAGAATTCCGATCTCCCCCTAACCAGCTGACACTTTCCCACTCCACAGGTCACAGTGAAGCAAAGAAATGAGACTGAATTGCACTCGAAGTGTTTTGCATCCACTTTAGGGTGTTATTCCTAGGGAACAGTGTAGGAAGAGCCGCGGCTGTGATGAAGGCTGGTGACAAAATCCAAGCTGAAGGAAGGACAACAGAAAAGACCAGAGCTCCTGGCTTTCAAGAAACAGGAAACGCAGCCTAAACCGATCACCTTACAGCTCTGGAAGACGCAACATTCTCCCTATGGATTGCTATTTTCTTCCCTCCTTTTAAAGGAATCTACAATCACAGGCAGGAAAAGCAGCACCAAAATCCCAACTGCCCCAAAGGGCATCCTTCTACAAGCACCATCGCGGACGCACAGGCAGGAGCAGTGCTGGGAGGAGCAGCATTACTGACATTTTTCACTCCACACTCAGCTCAGAGCATCCTTTAACAGACAGAGCAAGTCACGCAGTTGGAGGTGGCTGGAAGCTCTTCCTGCTAGGGACCCTGAGGAATTGCCAGTGCCAAAGGAGCTGAACTGGGGTTAACAGCAAGAGATGTACTGGGATAGATTCCCCTGGGCAGACTGCTCCTCTGTGGGCAATTTGGCAGCTGGACACCCGTGAACCAGGGACGGTGAGTCTCCATCAGAGCCAGAGCAGCTGGTAAACATGTCAGGAGAGGTGTGAGACCAGGAATTGCCTGCAGCAGCGGGAAGGAGGAATGTGGGCAACAAGGCACGACAAAGGCCGATTGTATTCCAGGATTATACGCTGGAGCTTTCAGCACAGACTGGACCTGATTCTCCAGCTGGCTTCTCTGCAAAGGGATGGGGCGAGGGGTTTATTGGGAGTGTGGTCAGCTTGTTCCCACCCATCCATCCCCTGCACACCACCCAGAACCTATTGCCGGTGGAGGAAATGCCTATTCTACAGCTGGGGAAAGGAAAAAAAAGATTTATTGGGCTGACTGTCCACATCTCCTACTCAGGACCCATCACATACTACAACCGATACTGCACTGGGTTGTCAGCCAGAAGGATCAAACGCCTCCCCTGTCTGCACAGGAAAATGCTTGACATTTCAAATATTTACACAGAAGGAAAATCTGATCTGAAGGAATGAAGCCGTTGGAGGGTTTTTTCTACTTCAAGGTCTCCAGTGTCATTTGACAATTTGCATTTTTGAACAAGGCCCCAAGTGTTTAGAGAGACATGCTTGTGTCTCATACAAAGCTCTGCTCTTACTTGTAGACGTTGGTGTTGTATTTCCTCTCGCTCGGGAATCCAAACATGCCACAGACGACGCGGGAGTTTTTCATGGTCCAGTGCTTGTCGCAGATCTGCTTCCAGGTCCCTTCGTCTTTCACCTCCACGTAACCCTCCGTGACGGGCACCCGCTTGCGGTAGGTGGCGAGGATGGCACGGATCCGTATGTCCTCCACCTGGATGTTCATGTTCTGGAAGCAGAAAAGAAACACGGATGACGCAGGCTTGCAAGGAAACTGGCTGCGCAGCTGCGAGGAGGGAACAGAAACCAGTTCTGTTCGGGGTTGGGACTGAACAGAGGGAGGCAGGAAGGAAGAGCTGTTTGGGAAAAGACACAGCAGGGAAGCAAACCTGCCCCTTCTGCAGCACAGTGACTTCAACTTCATCTCAGCTATTCCAGACGTGAGCAGAGCTCAGCTCTGCTACAGCCACCCTAGTGCTGGCAGGGTGCAGGGCAGGACCTCGGGGCTCTCATCGAGCCATTGGGCACCTCTTCTCCTCCGAAGCCTGGGAAGGCTGGGATCCCGATGTGCTGACACCGGCATTTCACCGCTTCCCCAAGCCGGGTTCCTTCTCCCACTGAAGCGTTGCTTGGGACAGCAAATGAGTCATGAAGGTTGGATGGCTTTCACATTTGGAGCCTACGTGAGGACACTGCGCAAACAAACCTTGCAGGGACCCGAGCCCAAACGCAAAGCTGACTGGAAAATATCCGCTGTGGCAAGCAATTACAAAAGAGCTACTGAAAATTTTATAACCTGCTTCCAGGAGAGCTTTTCTTGTCAAAAATGTATAACCCACGTGGTTCTGCTAACAGTTACATCAGAACTGAGGAATCCTCCCCTAGCTCAGATTCAATCACTTGGAAAAGCAAAACGCCCAGAGTTTTAAAGATGCCAAGGCCTCTGCTTAGGGCCCAGCAGCACCCCCGGCACAGCGGGACGGGCAGAGTCCTGCACAGCACACGTGGCTCATCCCTTCTCCAGATGCTCCTCCGACACTGATGCAGCTACCAGAGCACACAGAGAGGAGCTGCAGAGAGTGAGCCTGCTGGGGCAGGGAAAGGGCCGGCATCTGCTCCTTACCCATCGCTCTGCCACTGCTCTGCCCACACGGCCCTGGGCAAGTCACTTCAGCCTCCCCCCGCCAAAATTCTTTCAATTGCCACCCAGTTTTACAGCAAACCAGATCCCTGATTCCTCCTTTCACCTTCTGCTGCCTCCAGCAACTTGGCTGGAGCATCCCCCAGCAACCCTGAATAGCGCTACTCATACAGGGTTCACAGTTTGGGCTGTGAAGGTTCTTGTAGCCCTCAAGAAGAATAAAAACCACAACAGTATCCAAGTTTGTTACGTCTGAGCAATTTCAAAGTGCTCAAAGGGTCTGATTTCTTTACTGTGAGGGTGGTTCTTCCCGCAGAGGGTGGGGAGGCACTGGGACAGGTTGCCCAGAGAAGCTGTGGATGCCCCATCCCTGGGAGTATCCAAGGCCAGGCTGGATGAGGCTTTGAGCAACCTGGGCTAGTGCAAGGTGTCCCTGCCCATGGCAGGGGGCTTGGAACTGGATGATCTTTAAGGTCCCTTCCAACCCAAACCATCCGGTGATTCCACGAAGCCAGCACAAACCTGGGTGGTCTGGGAAACCCATTTGCAATACAAAGAGTTATTCCTGAATTTGGCAGGTTCTCTTGAAATACCGCACAGCTTTTGTCTACGTGCTGTCAGGGCAGTATTGGAGGCTCTGAGCATTGAAGGCTTCCCTGGGCTGGTTTCCAAAGCCTGCAACTCACTTTTCCCCTGGTGCAATGTATTAAATGTTTCCAGCTCTTCACTTGATGGAGAAAGCCTTTTACCTGGAGCTCCAGGCCAGTGCTGCCTGAGAGCACCTTGTTTCTCTACCCTTACCTTGCCTTACTTTCTTCACCAGGAAGCAAGAGGTAATCAAAGCCTTAAATGCATTTGGAAATAGCTTTGACTGCTGAAGACCTAAAAGTGTTTTTAATAAAAGCCTATTAAAAGGATTAACCCGAAGGACAAGAAGCCAAAGCTTAAAACTGCCCTGGAAAAGCACATGAAAAGGTAGTAAGTGAGGAGGAAATTTGCACTGACAGCTGAGAAAAGGAGTGAGACAGCCCAAGTGAGTTTTTCCGTCTGTGACTGCAGGACATACCCACCCTATATAAAGCCCTAAGTATGTTTGCTGCACGCAGTGACATCCGTCTCAGCCCCACTGCATGTTAAAGCAGCTGAAATGGAACATTTTCCCTGACTAGACCTGACATCAGCAACGTGCTAAAACCCACCCCTGGGCTTCATTTGACAGCCACTTCCACTTTGCTGGAATGTAGAGAGGCTGGAGGCTGCAGCCGGTTCTCGGCACGACAGAGAGGAGCGTGTGGAACAGTGGGATTTCCCATTCCGGAGCCATGTTCAGGATGCCTGCGTTTTGTGAGGAAGCTGCACCAGCATTTGTTAGCCCCGTCTGAATCATGCCGAGTGCCACTGCAGATGTTAAACATCTGCAAGGCAGCAGAATCACTACTCCCACGTTGCACCTATCAGTCATCGCTAGTACGTGACTTATTGCACCATCAGAGGTCTCCACAGTGATGGAAGGAGATGACAAATCCGAAAAGCCTCCAAGGTAAGCGGAGCACTCCAAGGATGGGAGACGGCAATGATGCTCAGCCGCCTTTGCAGACTGAGGACAAGGTGCAGAGAGAGCAAACTGCTTCCCCAAAGACCACGAGGACAGAAAATCACATCCAAGTGCCCAAGGGTGTGACTCCAACCTCCACTCAAAGGTCCCTCTTGCAGCAGGGAACGTCAGGTAAACTTCTAGTACGAAAGTACATTTTCATCAAGCATGTCTGGATTTCTCCTCCTTCCCACTCCACCAGCCTAGCAGGAGCCGTGCTGCACAACAACAAAGATCCAGTCTGTCGCTGGCAGCTGCCAATAACAGATGCTGAGGGAAGAACATGGCAACAAGCAGCTATTCCTCCCTGCAGCTTCCGAGCATCTGGATCTCTCAGATTCTCCAACCCAGAGGGTTAAAAAACCCTGGATGGATTGGAGAATCCTTTGCTGGGATTTATGATATCAGAGCAACAGACAAAGAAACCAGCCCACCGCCACAGAGATGGGGAGAGAGAAGTTGCACCATTGCAAAAACTAAACTCTTAAAGAAAGGAAAGCTTGGGAATGCTCACAGTTTGCCCATTATTTCTGTAATTAGTTCAGAACCTCAGCCAATAAACCTCAGTTTGCAACAGAGCTCTGAGCACTGCAGGGGATGCTGGGGTCCCTGTAAAGGGTCCTGGGCTGCCCTGCCCTGCTGTGGTTCCCGTGACCCAGTCTAGGGCTCGAGATGCCTGCATTTCCTACTTCCAGGCTGCGTGCTGGACATGTCTGTTCTGCTGACTGGACTGGGTTGTCCTTGCTGATCGTTTCACAGAGGAGAAAAATAAGGTACAAACTGGAACGGCTTGCTCTCGGCCTTGAGAAAGCACAATCAGAGCCAGCACAACACCTCAGGCGCTGCGGCCTCCGGCACAAAGGTCCCACGGCACGTCTCTCTTCCTCCGGAGATGCTGACATAGACACAAAAAGACAGCCAGCTCTGACGTGGGACCCGGTTTTAGTGAATCCAGCCCTTTTGTCATGCTCTTTTGCCTGTACTTGCCAAGGAAGGGAAAAAAAAAGTGAGCAAACTAGCAAGAAATAAGCCATCATTTCATTCCCTCGAGAGTATTTCAATCTTCAGATAGCTATAGCAGACCGGCACACAGTGACATTTTCATGATCTGTTTGAGAGCAAAACCAATCCACATCCATTCCCCATTCCCCTCACAGGTTTAGAGCGGAGAATTACGGATACAGCCAACCCAAAAGGTTTGCATTGGGTTTGAGTAAACAGCAAAGCATCCTAGAAGAACTCAACGTGCTGCAGACCTCACCTTTGTAGTGGAAGTTTAAAGAACAAAGGATCAAAATAAGAATACTGAAGGTTTTTCAAGGAGAAAGGACTGCTAACAGCTTTCTCCCAGTAACTCTTTACAGATTTGAATGCTTTCCTTGAATTACAGAGGGTTTGTTACACTGGGAGTATTCAATAATGCAAATACAGGCAGACATATATTTTGTCTTCCAACACCAACGTGTCGAGCAGCTGGGCTAATGGTGAAAACAGACTCCACATAAAAATCAGAAGCAAACAATACTTAATAGCTAGAGCAGACTACTTCAAGTCACCCTCTCCATACTTTATGTACACGTGGAGACAAACGCCTACAACAAACTGTAATATCAGCAAGGAAACCTCATCCCTGAAAGCTTTATTCTCCCATTATATCCATACACTGATGCTACAAGGTAGAGCCGGTAAACCCTCAAAAGGTTATCTGAGGATCACAAAGCAGGGATCTGCAACCACCTCGGAAGCTGAGTGCACATCTGCCAAGCTCCCAACCTCAGGTACCAACCATGAAGTAGAGTTTTCCACAATATTTCCAGAGCCAAGGATGGAAAAGAGAGGCCCAAGCCCCAAAGCCAAGGGGACATGGCTTGCTCAGTCTGAGGAACACAAAGCGGGGAGGGAGGAAACCATGCAAAAACCCACAGTTTAGCTTCTTCAGTTCAAGGGAAAGATGCTGCCAAGGATTTCTACCCATGAGGCAAGTGGAGAGGCCAAGCCCTGAAAGAGTTAACTCTCACGGCTCAGGCATGAGAGTCCTTCAGCTAGCCTTGCGCAATCTCCCCCTATGTAGGCCAACAGCTGGAGAGGTCTGTGCCAGCCCTTTTCCTTTTTTATTTTCCCCTCCCCCTAAACTCTGCAGTCTTACAGTTCAGCTACCAGCAAAATTCAGACCTGGATCTCCACCCTCTCCTTTGCTTCGGAAACAATCCCACCCACATACTTGAAGCTGAATCAGCCTTTGCTTTCTGCTCTGCAGAGCGATGCTAGTTCGGAGGACGGCGTGTCTGGCATCACTGATCCCATGCACGGGGCTTGCAGGTCTGCTCCATCCCTCAAGCCACAGCTTCGCTTCCATCAGACATCCATTCTGACACAAAGTCCAGCAAGGGAGTAAGCACACAAGCACTAAGGAATCCTAAGGCAGTTTTCTCCTGCTTGAGTTAAGCCTCTGAAGCCTTGAGAGGTGTGAAGACACAGAAACCCAAGACCAAGC